AACAATATTTAGAGAAGTGTTTAACATATTCAAGAATGAAAGGGATAAGTTAAAGAAATTCATGAAGGGTCGTAAAATTTTCTTTATTACGGACACTTGGACATCTATTCAGAATTTGTGTTACATGTGTTTGACTACTAATTTCATTGATGATAATTGGAAACTTTAAAAAAGAATCATAAATGTTCAACAAGTTGAGGATCACAAAGGAGAAACATTGGGTCGAAAAATTGAGTCGTGTTTGATTGAGTGAAACATTGATAGCATATTCACCTTAACAATTGATAATGCTAGTTCTAATAATCTTACCATTCAATAACGATAACCAAATATTGGAAGGGGACTATTTTACAACATGAGTTTATTCATATGCGTTGCTGTGCACATATTCTTAATCTCGTTGTGAGTGATGGATTGAAAGAAATGGACAATTCTATTGCCAACATTAGACTTGCGGTGAGATATGTGCGGTCTTCTCCTCATAGGTATGATGTTTTTAAGAAGTCTGCGGCCACACTCAAACTTGATTCAAAAGCTCTTATATGCCTAGATGCACCAACTAGGTAGAACTCTACCTATTTGATGTTAGAGGCCTTAAAAAAGTATAAGGAGGCTTTTAATCGATTGAAGTTTGTGGATTCTAACTTTGAACCTTATTTCAAGGATGTTGATGGTGACATAAGGAGAAGTCCGAATGAGTTGGATTGGAAAAAATGTAGAATTTTTTTGAGGTTTCTAAACTATTTTATCTTGCAATTAATAAATTTTTGGGGTCCCTCTTTGTTACTTCCAATACTTTTTATAAAGAAATGTTTGTTATTGCAAGCAAAATTAAACAATTAATTTTGAAGGAAAATGATACTTTGAGCATAATGGCAAAGACTATGAAACAAAAGTTTAGCAAGTATTAGGGGGATGGAAGTAAGATCAATTTGTTGTTGTATGTTGCGGTGGTTCTTGATCCTACCAAAAAAATGACATACTTAGAGTTTTGTTTTTCCAATTTATTTCTTGGAGATAATAAGAAGGTGGAAGATATGGTAGACAATGTTAAGAGTTGTTTGAGTCGTTTGTATAGCCATAATGTCACACTTCATCCTTTAAATGAGAAACTTCCAAGTGTGAGTGAAGTTGTAAATACGGTGGAAGAAGATGATGATGATGATCCCTATTCTTTGGTTGACTTCCAATTTAATTCTTATTTGGAGGGGCAATGCACTAGTAGATCTAAGTTGGAATTGGAACAATATTTATTCGAAGTTGAATATTTTGCAAAGAATCAAACATTTGAGATTTTGGATTATTGGAAGGTGAATGCAACCAAATATAGGGTGTTATCACAACTTGCAAGAGATGTGTTGGCCATGCCTATTTTTACCATTGCGTCGGAGTTGGCTTTTAGTATGGGATGGCGTATTCTTGACCCATTTCGTAGTTCACTCTCGCCTTTTATGGTTGAAGCTCCTGTATGTACTCAAAATTGGCTTCGAAGCAACCTTCCAATTTCTCTTCGAAAGGCGATGGATGATGTGGAGAAATTTGAGCAATATGACTCGGGTAATATAAGAATTTATTTATCTTCATTTTTATTTGTATTGTTCATTTTCTAATGTAAGTTTTATTAATCTTCTCTTGTTGACTCCTAATTAGGTACTTTGGAGTCAAGCTCATCTTCAAGTTCAACTTATAATGTTGATGTAATAATTGATCTCTAATATCCATTTGCTCATTTGTAATTTTTTCATATACTCAACACATTTTCTTACTATATTGAGATGCAATATATAGACATTTGTTATGAGAATTTATTTATCTTCATTTTTATTTGTATTGTTCATTTTCTAATATAAGTTTTATTAATCTTCTCTTGTTGACTCCTAATTAGGTACTTTGGAGTCAAGCTCATCTTCAAGTTCAACCTATAATGTTGATGTAATAATTGATCTCTAATATCCATTTGCTCATTTGTAATTTTTTTCATATACTCAACACATTTTCTTACTATATTGAGATGCAATATATAGACATTTGTTTATCTTTTCATTACTTTATTCTTTTACACTTTTTGTCTCAAAGGAATTATGAAGATTGAAGATTAAAATTTATATTTTTTCAGTTTGTTTTTGTACAGGATTCATCAACCAAAAGCATGGAATTGGAATTGGAATTTTTGAAAGTTGGATTGAATATGATTCATGATGAAGTTTGATATCTTAGAATTTTTTATTTTATTTTATTTCATGGGTTTAAATTGACTGAAGTTTGACGACAATTTTTTTTTTTTTAATTGCACTTTGGTTTTGGATGAATGTAAGTTAATAGATTTATTTTTTTTAATTTTTTTTTTTACATTTTGGATGAATGTAAGTTGATGAATAATTACTTTCTTTTTTTTTTGGTATTTGGGTTAGGAATAATGAATGTAGGATTTTTTTATTTGGATTAGGAATGATGAATGTAGGATGAGTGCAAGTTAACGATGAATGTAGATTTTGAATGATTTGTTTAGGTTACGAATTGATTTTGTTGTGTTTTTTATTTTATAAGGTTTTTATAAGTTGTAATTCATTAATTATTAATGTATGTGAGGAAAAAGGTCCAAAATAAATATTGACAAAATGGGGAAACAAAAAAAGTTTAAAAATAATTTTTGAAAAAAAGTCTAATCCGCAAACTGCCCGTACATTCGCGAACCCTATCCACACAAATCGCAAACCGCATTTGCGGGCGGTTATGGGTTGATTTTTTCCCAAACCGCATAGATGTAGGCAGGTCTAAACCGAACCGCAAACTGTCCCAAACCGAGCCGCGGACACTCCTACCACACACCATTACATCATGAATTAGAGTTTATGAGAGCACTCACCTCCATCACCACTCATCCATCTTCCCTAAATCTCATCTTTAAAACTTACCCACCTTTAAAATCTTGAAAACCCTTTAGCGACAATATTCCGGCGATAACGATAGCAACCATTTGATTATCCACACTTCTCCTTAATGATAATGAGTAGAAGTTTTTTCGGCAACCACAACTTTATAAGACGAGAGAAGTACAACAACAAAAGTTTAGAGAAAGTTCATAACTTTGATGGTGTTCTTAGCTCAGAGTAGATTGGCCTTGTAATAGTAAGTTTCTTAAAAACAATGGCAAAATATTAAAATATATTCGACATTTTTTCGGGACTGAACTTCCCAACATATGATTGAAATTCGAAAATACATGTCCGAACATTGTTTATTTGTTCGAGAACCAATAACCGAACATTTATTATTTGCTCAAGAACCGGTAATCGAACATTAATCATTGAAGAAAAGGATGAGGAGAGATAGAGCAGAGACAGTAATGACACTTGGCTTTTCTTTTTCTTCATGAGTTTTATTAGGATTTTTAGAAGAGAGATTTTTTGGGGTGTGGGGGGTATGCATTCAATTGAATGGGTAGAATGTTTTTACAAAGATAATTTTGGTATTATTTGGAGAAGAAAAGAAATTTTAAGGGTTTTAAAATTTATAAATAGGAGTCTAAAGAAATAGGGTGTCCAAAATAATAGATGGGGTGCTAATAGCATTACTTTTAAAAAGTAGGTTAAAAGTTAATTTTTTTTAAAACTTTATTTGAAAAAAATATGTAAAAAAATAAAAAAATAATGTTATCAAAAAAAAAGTTAAAAAGTCAAACAAACTGCCTTTTAGCCAAGTTCTGCCTTAATTTTGTATGTTAAGAATATCTCTAATTCTTTATCAAGTTTTTTTTTATTTTTTTTATTTTATAATCTTAAGTGGTTGATTTTAAATTTGATTTAATATAAATTATTCTAATATTTTTTACAAATTTGTATTATTATTATTATTATTAAAAATTCATCCATTATTCCAAATTTCTATTTTCACCAAATTTAATATAAAAAAATCATTTCCAATATTTTATTTTTAAAAATTTGATAAAAAAATAAATTTTCCTTAATTTGATGGACATTGAATGAAAGAAAAGATGAATTATTAGAGATGCTCTTCAGTGTTTTAATTTAAAAAGTAAATGAGTTATTCAGATTTTGTTTGACAGCTTAATTTTTTGGTTAAAAAATCTAAAAATAAAAAAATAGCAAACAATAAAAATTATTTTAAAAGTCAAAAAGTCATACATACCAATCATTCACGTTTTTTTGATACAATTTTAAAAAATATTTTTAAATACATTAATTTTTTTGTTAAAAAAGTGAAAAAGGAAAAGAAAAACCAAAAGTTAAATAAAAAAACCAATAAACTAACATATGACACTACCAATCATTTTAATGCGCTGATTTAAAATATTCTAAGAGAGGGAGTAAGAAAAATTAGGGTGAAAAATATGAATTAAGGGCTCATTTGTTAATTATATATTTTAGTTAAAAAATTAAAAAATTATTATAAGTCATCATATCAATCTCTTTATTTTTCCACATATCTTTTCGTAAAAATTTAAAAAATTACTAAAATAGTTTATGCTCAAATGAGGCCTAAATTCATTTCATTTCTCGAACTGTGTGGTGTGGTCCAAGCGAAACATTTGCACTAAAAACATTCATGGCCCCCAATCGCAGCCCAAATTAAAAAAGCCACACCATTCATTTGTTAATTATATATTTTAGTTAAAAAATTAAAAAATTATTATAAGTTGTCATATCAATCTCTCTAATTTTCTGTATATCTTTTCGTAAAAATTTAAAAAATTACTAAAATAGTTTAGGCTCAAATGAGGCCTAAATTCATTTCATTTCTCGAACTGTGTGGTGTGGTCCAAGCGAAACATTTGCACTAAAAACATTCATGGCCCCCAATCGCAGCCCAAATTAAAAAAGCCACACCATCTAGCCCACCCAATTCGCGTTCCTAAGAAGTTGAACAATGTGGCCCAAACGAAACTTTGTAGTAAAAGTCTATAGACCGAACTGAGGCCTAAACTGATGGAGCGGACCATCCAGCCCACCCAATTCGCATTCCCAATTCTCCCAAAATAGTCTCTCGTCTGTTTGGCTGCTCGGAATTCAGGAGTTGAAATTAGGTTAGGTCTCAATTCTCAATACCAAGGCAGCCATGGCGGAGATGACTACCGGGGGCGATGTTTCTCCGAACATGACTATATATATCAACAACCTCAACGAGAAGATCAAGCTCGAAGGTACTTTCTCTTCTCTCTCTCTCTCTCTCTATATATATATATATATATATATCTCTTCTACACAACTTTGCCCTAGTTTTCTTTGAGATCTGAGTAAAATTTGCAGAGTTGAAGAAATCGCTGCACGCTGTGTTTTCTCAATTCGGGAAGATACTGGAGGTTTTAGCTTTCAAGACGTTGAAACACAAAGGCCAAGCTTGGGTTGTGTTCGAGGACGTTTCTTCAGCAACCAGTGCGCTTCGGCAAATGCAGGGCTTCCCATTCTATGACAAACCTATGGTATGTTTGTTCTTGTGTTTGGTTGGGAGATTTAGAAAGAGATTTGGAAAGGGAAAATGAGAACCTAGTTGAAATATAACTAAGATATTTTTCACCTTATTTCACCCACCTTTTTCCTTTTCCATCTCCTTTTCAAATTCTTACTCAAATCCCCCAACCAAACACAACATTAACCTTTGCTACTTTGTGCTGCTGATGATGATGATCAGTTGAGTTCAGAGCTCGTCTTTTCAGTAGTATTTGCCAATACACTACAAAATTATTGACTTTAGCATGTTTTTTAATTCAAGAAAATTGGATTTGCTACATGGTAGGTTAGTGAAAAAAATCTCTATCATGTGTCAATTAAAACGTATAGGAAGGTATCTGTGGATATAATTGTATGGAAGATTGTAGTTTGTGCTGAAAAATGTATGTCTGTAAGTTAGATGAGTGTGTGACTAATAATGTGTTGTTAACGCAGAGGATACAATATGCAAAGACTAAATCAGATGTAATAGCAAAGGCTGATGGTACTTTTGTTCCGAGAGAAAGAAGAAAGAGGCATGAGGAGAAAGGTAAGACATTCTTGTTGCATAGTCACATGCATCGAATTACACTTCTTTCTTGCTGTAATGATCTCAAATCTGAAGCAAATCAATAGATTATCCTAATCATATTACAACTTTATATAGGATTAAATATTGGAAGTTCATAAATTTGTATCACGATGCTGATGATTTGCAAACATATGGTAATAACATAATTACAGTAAGGCAATATTGTTATTTGTATCATGTACTTCATTGGTAGTAGCATGAAAAGAAATTTGCTGTCCAATATTTGTTACCAAAAACATTTTGACAAGAAATGGAGATGTGATTCTATGTTGTGCAAATTAAGAGTATTTACCAATAGAAAAATGTTATTTATCTCCACATAACTTCACCTCCTATTTGTAAATTCATGCAATAAATGTTTGTGTTTATGTGGGCCCATCATAAATAAATAATGGTGGAACCCATCATGCCACATGAGAAGCTACATAAGAACTGAAATATTTAGGTGATATATTGCAGCCCTCTTACCAATACATATAGACTTTATCAAAAAGACAAATGTTAATATATACAATTGCTCTCAAAGGAAACTGAGGGAGTGTTGAAATCCAGTTGAACATGACATAGCTATCAGAGAAGGTATTAGTGTAATTCTTGATATAGAATTGAACTCATATCCTTGTTTAGTTGTGTTGCTTGACTTAAATAATTTCAATGATAGAATCAATGTTTTGTTTTAGAAACTTTTAGATACGATACATTAGAAAGCCAAACATTTTACGAATGCTGAAGCATGGTTGGAGTGTTTCATTGTGAAAAAGAAATTCATTTGAGTTTGTGGTTACTCCTCTTATATTGCCACTTTGGCACTGTCTTATCTTCGCCTAACAGTGTCCACATTCTCCCAGAAAATAAGATGCATGGGTTCATGGGCTAAAATTAGTTCACTGTAATTCTCATCAGAAAGCATGTTGCAGTGCCTTATTGCTTCCCATTTACCCTCAGATAGCAAATCACTGGGACAACACTTCTTTTAGGAGTTGAGGGCTTTATTCTATTATTTGCAGGATTATTTCACTAAGTATTACATGCTTATTCTATACCAATTTTATTTAGGATGCCCTTGTGGAAGATAATAAATTGCAAGACTTATGACTATTATTGCTAAGTTATTGGTAGATTAAGAAGCTGTGAATGGCATGCTTATTTACGAGATTCTGGTTTTTATTTTTGGATGATCTTATTTATTCACATCTTTTAAACCTGCCCTTTAAATCCTTCTGATGAAAGTGATATGAAAGGAGCATGGTGTAATTACATAACTTGTGTGAGCTGAAAGTTTTTTGCATCTAAATGAGATAGATGCAGGAAACTTGTTCTGTATTTTAGTTAATTGCAAGAAAGAGGAATAGTTAAACGATTGCTGTAATAGTTTGAAACGAAAGTTAAATTTTGAAAAGAAGTCACTTGTGATGTCAGAATATAGTGTATATTTTCTTTCTTATTTATGGGTTTTGCTTCTCTCTCTCTCTCTCTCTCTATATATATATATATCTTGATTCTTGCACCATTTCTCTAATACAATAGGGAGGAAGCGAAAAGAGCAACATGATGCTAATCAAGCTGGAATGGGTCTGAATCCAGCTTATGCTGGTGCCTATGGTGCAACTCCTCCTGTAAGCATGTTATTTGTTTTCTAAGGAATTGAGGATTAATTTTGGAATTTTCATTACTTTGTTGTGGAATTATAACTTCATTAAATGTGCATCTATATGTTTTGAAAAGATAGTTCTGAGATTAAAATTTGAAATTGATTCAAGTTGATTGTTGTTCTATTCTCACTTTGCATCAAATGGATGTAGTGCTTTTTTTCCATACAAATTTCTACGGGGACTTCGGTGCTTTATTTCCATGTTTGTTTTTTTTAATTTTTTTTTTTATATACTTTTTTCTAGGTACATCTTTAGTTAAATTCTTTTTTTTTTTGGGGGGAAAGAACTTACCAGTTCTCTCTTCCACTAAATGGTGCAGTTATCACAAATACCATATATGGGTGGTGCGAAATCAGCAGTCCCAGAAGCTCCGGCACCACCAAATAATATATTGTTTGTTCAGAATCTACCTCATCAGACCAACCAAATGATGCTGCAAATGCTTTTCTGCCAATACGCAGGCTTTAAGGAAGTTAGGATGGTCGAAGCAAAACCGGGTATTGCGTTTGTAGAATATGACAACGAGATGCAATCAACAGTTGCAATGCAGGGACTACAAGGATTCAAGATGTCTCCTGAGGACCCAATGTTGATTACCTATGCGAAGAAGTAGATACATTTTTCTGGGTTAAAAGATGCAGATAGGGAGAATTAGCAACTGGAATGTCATCAATCTAGAGAGAGATCACATGCGTCTTGTCCTTTTTAAAGCATGTGCATTATTGTAGTGTGATCCCCTTTGTTTTCCCATGTTTGTGTACTTCGATTAACATTTGTTTTCTTGAACTTAGATTAGCTCGAGTCAGAATTTTATTTTTTTTGGGTTTGAAGTTAGATGCTTCGGACGTTCTTTGTATACTAAGTCCTTACTCTCGTTTACAGATCGCTAAATATGAGTCTTGCCAATGGCTATTTCTGTGATGTTTTCCTTTTTCTTGTTTTTTGGGTAAATTATACTGACCTCCTCAAGGTTTAGGAAAAATACATAAAATTTCATAATTTTAACATAATTATATCAATATCTTTTTTAGTAAGATTAAAGTTACTGAAATTAATGTAGATAGTGTACTATTATTATTATTTATCTATATGACTAATGGATTATTAATAAAAATAGAGTTTAGTGTTATGTGAATTAAAATTTTAAAGAAATTTCATGTAATTATATTAAAATTGTGAGACGTATTGTAATTTCTCTATACTTTAGGAAAGGTTAATGAAATTTATCCCTCTTTTTTATTTATTTATTGCAGGGATACATTGAAGGTATTCAACAGTGCAAGTCTTATGATTTAGATTCATTTAAGATACGAATTTCACCATACAAGAATCAAATCACAACCACATTGTAGTATATGAGTAAGCAAAATGAAAAAATGATTTTGTTCTTTCCCAAAATATTCAAGCAATAGTTATTGACATATGTAGGAGTTAATATAAAGCCATTTTAGATTGGTAGCGAATGGCCTCGCATAGGTCCACCAAGAGGGAAGTCTCAAATAAAATGATGTTATTAAATTGGTACAGAAAAACTCTCACACTAATCAAACCCTCTCTAACTCAGTATTGTGTTTGTCTAGCTGGTCTTTCAACTCCTTTCTCCACCCTTGGACCAGCCTTTCTTGTTTCTCAATAAGCTCGGACTTGATCTTCAACTCTTCTTCCATCATAGCAATCTCCTGTTAAAATATTACACATTTAAGTGCGAAGAAAAAAATTGATCAATATTAAATAATATTAATAATAAACTATGGAATAGCAGAGTAAATAAATAAGAAGTCAATTGATATGTGCATTACCTTTTGTAGGGTTTCGGCCCTTGTAGGTTGATCTTCACGTTGCAGGCCAATAAAATAGAGTTGAAGCCTTTTCGCAGCCTCCATAAAGTCTCTAGCATGCCTCTCTACATCAACTGAACCAATCAAAACACAATTACCTCGTTTGGCTGACAGCATACCAATTTCATGGCATAAGCACATTCAGCTTTACTATGTGTGAAAATTTTAACCCCTTTGATCTATGTTACGAGAGAAGTAACTTAGATTCTACGTTTAATCAACAGACAAAAAAATTACTTGTCTAATACCTGATGATGAATCACAATATATGGGAAAAATCACACCGATGCAGAAACTCTGGAGTGTTTTGGGAAGTTGGTAAAAAACTGGCTTTTTAGCTTTTTTGGCTAAAAAAAAAAGCCAAAAAGCTGGCTTTTTTAGCTTGTTTTCAAAAGACCCCTCCGTATGGTATGAACATCGTTTTGTTCCACATTTTTTACAAAAATTTGCAGGCCTCTGAAAATTTAGAGGATGAGATGTCAAAACTTCATCGGGGAGAGAGAGAGAGAGTTCTTGGACAACCGGACATGTCCATTTGACTCCATCCAACTCCACAATAACTTCATTAAATGCAGCCTCGGCTAGAGTAATAAAGAAATGAAGAGGAAGCACAAGGTCAAACAGTTTTTGATGATAAATTCTTTTCCTACAGTATCCCTCTCCAAATAGTAATTTGTGCTCCGGTTGATCCATGGATTTGGTGAGCGCATAAGAAAAGAAAATGGTCACTATCTCTTACCTTTCATAAATATTGTTAATACAATGTTTTTCAGAGTGAGAAGGAAAATAGATGGAAATCAGTTTTGTCATTGTTTCTTTCCTTTTCTTTTTTTCCTTACCAATTCCTAGTTCCAAACACATACTTAATAACTTTTCAGTTTTCTTAGCCATCATAAAAATTACCTTAAATAAATTCAGTTTTCAAAGAAAATCAGTCCTGTTTCATGCACATTGGCCTACTACTAGGTAACTATATACTATTCCGAAATGGATTGAAAAATTAAAATATACTTTAATGAGCCATTCCTTCACAAAGAAGATGGCCACAACAGTGAGATTCCAATTTGATGGCTACGGTTTTTATTGTCCATTTCATTTTAGAAAGCCTCAGCCTTTTCTCCTTAGCAAGGAGGTTTTTATGCATGATGAATACAAGAAAAGAGCAGAGAGTCACTCACTCTGATGAGAGGGGTGGGGAGAACGGTCTATTGCTTGGAGCTCTCTCGCAGGCAAGCACGGAAGCAAAGCAGCCTCTAGAGCCATCACACAAGCAATCATGTCCTCCCGCGGTGGAGAGGGAGATTGCAGCTGCGGAGAAAGAGGATGCTGCTGATCCAAAGACTGTCTCTCAGCCATACCTATCTCTACCAGTTACAATTCGAGCAGTACTCTTCCTTTGAAGGTCAGAAATCCTAAAACTGCAATGAATGGAAAACAATATGGGTTGTTCAAAAAGCTTGTGGAGCTCATTAGGACACACAAATGTCAAATTTAAAAAAAAAATAAATAAATAAGGAGCAGCCCACAAACCTCTGAATAGTATAGTATTGACTGATCTATGATTAACAAAGGCAAGAACAAATGGCAGAAACTAGAATAATTGGTTAAATTACTGTTATCTGCACACAACACAACCCTCATCTAATGAAACAAACCTCTTGCCATCATATGAAATGCTGCTAACAAATATATCAATTTTCAGGTGATATTCTTTTCTTAAATAGAAAATTGGGGGAAGTCAATAATTCTAGTGTCAGGCATACGATGAGCCCATGGTTCAAGCAATTCGATCAGATAAACAAATTATTGAATCAGGGCAATTGATCGAACATCTGTAGTGCATTAGAAAGCATTTTTTTTTTTCCCTCAAATAACACCCATATAGACATCCGAACATATATGTATACATCGACAGATACATATACAACCATATTAATGCAACATGCATATGAATAATGCAAGAAATTGAATGCTTTGACTTCAAACAAAAAAAGAAGACAACATGAATTTTATGGTAATAGAACAAAGAAAAAAAAAAAAAACGAATTTTGTAATAAATAGAAGGAATAGAGTATGAAAAGAACGAACTTAAATCCGAAAAGTAAAAAAAAAAAAGATTTGACAAACCTTGACGATGTCACCCGATGTCTGTCTGGCGAGCTCACGGCCGAGGAAGGCTGCGAGAAGGCGGCGGCGTCGGTGAAAAAGTTAAGAAAGCGGTTTTGATCCAAACTACGTAGTACTTACCATAGACCATCTCCCATCCCATCCTTAATTTTTTTATTTTTAAATTTAAGTGAAAATTTGGTTAAAATCTTGAGGGGACCTACCGGTGGGATTTTAAAAAAAAATTAAAAAGTTCTTGTAACTTTTCATTTACAATCTATCACAGATACATTTATTCTTTTATGTTTATTTAATTTTTTTTCCCTGACTCTTACACCCAAAATTTGATTGGGTAATGCTAGGAATACCAAATTTTCTACCAAACAAATGACCAAATGTCTCACATGGGTGTGGGATCCGCAATTTTGTGGGCCCCAGTCATTTATTTAGTAGAAAATTTGAGACCTCTAACATTTTCCAATTTGATTTGGGTATAAACACTCCAACTCTCCAATCATCATTATTATTATTTTTTACTTTATCAATTTTTTTTTTTAAAAAAATAAACTTATTCAAAAATGTATTTTAAAAAATCATTTTCAATCTTTATTCTTATTAAAAATTCATCAAATTTGAGTAAAAATGTGATAGTTGAAAATTTGGTGAAAATTTTGGTTAATTCTTAATTTAATAATAATTTTTTTTTTTTAATCTCATTTGATATAAGTTCAATGTATTGATTGAGCTCAAATATTTGTCAAATTTGAATTTCATATAAGAATTTATGTATAATTAGAGATCCTTTTAGACATTTAAATGTATTGCAAAGGTAAACACAATAATTCCTTTTATGGACATTTTCACAATTAGGAGAGAAAAAAAAATTGCATGTCTACAACATACTACTTTATAAAAATTACGTGTAGAATAAATTTTACTTTTTATCTTTATACATAATATTTCATTTTATTACGTCTCTCCTCTTAAATTAATTTAGTGTTAAATTGCCTAGTAAAAATTATAATATGATCCTTACATAAAACATTTTTATCTTAAAAAAGACTTCGACTCCAATATAGAATTGGTTAATGAGTTTTGCGAATGGTGGACAAATCTCGACTTTCGATTTGCCAAAAAAAATTGATTTGCCTCAATTAAATCATTACAATTTGTTAGGCAGCATGGTTGTTTGGATCCAATTGATGTTGATATCAGACGCAAATTTAAAATGCCTAAAAAGACTTCAAAATATTTCTGATTTAATACCGTGCCAGTCAATTTAATGAGAGATCAAAATCAAGCTTTTTAGTGATTGCCAATGTGAACATAGATGCACAGTGGGATGTCTCTGTGGTGGACAAATCTAACTTTTGATTTGCCAAAAAAATTGATTTGCCTCGATTAAATCATTAGAATTTGTCAGGCAGAATGGTTGTTTGGGTCCAATTGCTGTTGATAACAAACGCACATCTGAAATGCCTAAAAAACTTCAAAATCTTTCTGGTTTAACACCATGCTAGTATTCATCCCAAAAAACCACCATGCTAGTCAATTTAATGAGCGAGATCAAAATCAAGCTTTTTGGTGATTGTCAATGTGACGGTAGATGCACAGTGGGATGTCTCTGTGCTCTGCAACACCCTCCTCACATCACACAATTCAATTGCTTACAACAGGCAAATACATATTTTCTACTTTACACATGAAAAGATAGCGATTAAATCAATAAAATATACATGAGTGAATGCAAACGTGAAACATTGTTTTTCGAACATATAATTTACCATTTTTTTTTTCCCTTTTGGGAGGGGAATGATAATCATAACTCGTGATTAAATTAAAGAGGGATCTCTACTTCCAAAAAAAAAAAAAAAAAAGGGGGGCCGCGGAAATACAAAACTGAAATTGCAGATAAGGTAGAAATTGAGAACTATATCCCCATGCTGGTTCTCTTGAAATCAAAATTTACTTGAACCACATGACGCATCCTAATTTGATCCACATTGTAGACTATGTACTCATTGTACAATAAAGCACCCTGAAAAAGAATTATTCATGCAATATTTTTAGTGATCCCCAATCTGAAGTTCTGCAAATAAAATTCATTACAAAGGAACAGTTTTGGAGTGATAACATGTTGGTACCTTAGAGCTGAGTTGCTCTTTCGGCTTTCCTAAGGGAACAGCGACGCCATCTTCAAGCATTTGAGCCTCTGAATAATCGGGGGCAGTTGCACCAACTCCTTTTGTGCTGCAATATTAGGTTTCAATCTGAAGAAGAAGAAGAAGAAGAAGAAGAAGAACAAGATCACAATTCAAAAGTTTTAAAAAACCTCAGCTTTCCCTCTGGCAATTTGTCAGCATTATAATTTGCTGTTAGCAACTCAGCCATGTCTCCCAGTGCAACCTAAGAAATACAAAGTTCAAGTCCTTGGTGAAAAACCATTCGGCTAGGAGAAAAATGTTTTCAGCTTAAAAGAAAATAACACCACATTCTTCTGTATGAAAATGACATTTTATGCTCAAACAAAGACAAACCTCACATAAAAGCAGCACACCGGCAGTAGCTGCATGACTCGAATAGCAATAGTTTGCACTTTTGGAAAACATATCAGCGAAATAAACCCCCTTTCCAAACATATAACCTGTTGCAGGAGCTTCTGGTGGAGCAATGCGCAAACCTGGTGATTAGAAATGGCGTCTTGTAGTTAGATACTCTCATAAATCAGTAACAAGAATTATACATACAAAGACAGAGAATAACCTTGGGATAGAATTCCAGTCCAGTTTGCGAGTCGAGAACCATGCCACAAAAGCATTCTATTTTTCGTATTAGAGAACTGCTTAATAAATCAAAGCAACAGGTATGGATAAAGGTAGAGGAGAATAAAAGCAGGGGGAAGCATATTTTTATACGGAAGTATTGCGAACCTTTCTAAAACGTTCAGTTTCACCCTCTCTTGACACCCTAAATATCTGAACTATATCTACCGCATAATTCGAATGTGTCTTTGCATGAGTATTCTTCATATACCTTGCAATCTGAGCATGGACCACAAAGAAGAAAAAGAAGAGCCTTAACATTAGGTTTTAGTGTTCAAACATAAAAAACTATGTTAATGAATATGAAGAGCAAAATAAGTAAGGAATACCGTCGAGAACTCATCAGAGTCAACTTCAAGTGGCATAAGTTCACAACCAAGGCGTTGATAATGAGAGCACAAGGGATCTTCCTACATGACAATAGCACATCAAATATAAATGAAAGTCAAAATAAATTTAAAAAAAAAACCCAGAATTATGCAAATCATTTAAAAGGAACTAATAGAAGAGTTGGCATTTCATGCATATATTGATTGTAAAATACCACTATTCTATGGAGTGCCGCTTCTGCAACTGTTATAGTGGTATTTTAATTCTAGTGTTAGAATTTTCCATCTTTACCTTCACCTACTCCACTACACACTCCACTTCACCTACCTCTTCTGCAACTGTTATAGTGGTATTTTAATTCTAGCAAAGATGGCATAAAGTCAATCAATGATGACAGAGAAACCAGACAATCAATACCTGCATCTGAATATCATTCTTCAACAACTTTGTTGCAAGCTCGATTTCGCCGAGGGCTTCAACCTTCATTTATCCAAGTGTCAATAATTATCTCAAATACAAATAAAGAAAATCTAAATCTCCATTACAGATGAATACTGGAAACAATTGCAAGGGTTAGGTGACTGAGATATGTGTAAGGATAACACATAACATCATGACTGACTAAAGATCAAGCTACAAAAAATAGTCAGACAAATAAACCCCTCTCATCTCCCCCCTATAGAGAGAGAAAGAGACGGTAGACAAGCCATCCCAACTGAGGAAAAAAAAATTACCATTTCCAACTTGAATTTTAACTTTTGAGGGGTGTCAATGACAAAATCACCTGCCATAATATTTGTGTTTATCAGGAGCTATTTTCTCAGTGAGAGTATTAATAAAAAGAAAAACAAACACACAAGGCAGGCTAGAGAAAAACTTAGTTAAGCCAATTTGAGATATAGCAAGCTGAAAAAGCATTAGAGAGAGAAGGCAGAGGGGAGGGACTCACGCATCTTTTTAAATCCAAAATCATGAGGAATAACGGTGTAGAATTCACTGCAATCAAAAAATGGTATACAAAATGAGTGTTGTCAACGAATAATTTCCTTAATAGTTATATCTTAGAATATCAACATAATTACAAGCATCGAGAAGAGACAAGAAAGCACTTCTACATGATAAATATCATGTAAAAAATGCAGTTGGAATTGCAAAACAAATCCAGTCAAGCATAGTGAAAAATATATTGTAATAATGAACATATAGTGGAAATGTTGTTCAGTGGTTCAAGACCACCATGTCATTTTTTGTCACAACCAACCACGGTCGGCCAAAATCAGCAAAAGTGGGACCTGAGGAAGTGCATTCCGATAAAGTGAGACCTCCCACTTTTGCTTATTTGGTCAACCATGATTGGTCAGGACAAAAAATGATGGGTGGTGATAGACCACCAAAAATGGACTCACCCACTTAATTGCTCAAGCTTTTTCCTATCTGACTGGCCAATCACATCAGCTATCCTCTTCAAGACATCATAGCCCTGTACATATGCAAATTAAGATAACATGTTGGCTGCTCAATGGAACATTGGAGAAAGAAGATAAAAACATTATTTTTTAGTAAAATTATACAAAACTGTAAATTTCTTCACAAGTTTTTCAGATTGAATTCCAAATCTTAGAAATCATGCAAATTGCAATGACGTGCAAGCATAGAAGAGTCATGAAACAGAAGCTCTGTAATTCACATTAGAATTTCTCTGCAAGCGGAGTGTGTTATGGATCAAACTAGACAAAAACTAAGCACAACAGCACCAAAAAGCCTATAAAATTCCCCGAAAGTTTGACATATCAATACATATATAAATAAGTCAGAACACACAAGTTAGCACAACCAGAAGACCAACCCTCTCAGAATAACTCCAGTTCAACACAGGAGCACGCAAGTAGAAAAAGTATTAAACAATTAGAAACCAAGTACAAGAAGAATAACGCGATCATATTTTCAACAAAAATTAAGCATATCTATTAGACTGGACACTACTCAAAATTGTGAAACCAAAAGGATACAGGGGTACCATTCAAGCTACAAAATCACATGTCATGTCCCTTATTCCCATGTTATCTGTCCAGGTTTGCACAGAGAATATCTCTAAAATCAAACTAGAATATGGTTCAGTACTGAACACTGAAGTTGCTTTAAATCTGCTGTACTGACCAACCAACTGAACCATACCCTTACGAGTAAAGTTCAATGCCCATGCTTATGATAAATTTTCAAAAATCTGAAGATAATCTCTTTACAATATTTCTATAATTTTAAGTACATTTGGTTTGTAAGCGATCTCTGAAGCAAAAATAAAAATAAAAGCAACACAGTAGCTAGTAGTATATACTTATTATCATTTTCATATCTCAATATTATATGTGACACAAAGTTATCCAAATAAAAACATTAAATACATAGCTTGGAGACTTGCCTTTAAAATTGTCGATTTGCTAAGCTTACCAAGTGGCAACTTTTCAGCATTGTATCCTATAATGCCATATACAAAACACATTATTTTTCTTTCGTGATAATACATTCATTCAATAATAAGAGAAACAAAATATAACATAAAAAAATTATCCGGACAACTGACACATGCTTTTGGAGTCATCATCCATCATTCCGGTGGTATGGATCAAAAACATGTTCATGTTATCTATGCTCAAAGTTTAGTATCACTACTAATTAAAGCTTGTGTTAGTATTTGAAAAAAATAAATTGATGTATATTATTGATTGATGTCTTACAAGATTGATAAATTACAATTCCTATACAATCTATATATAGAAGAAAATGTGGTAGTAGGTGTAGTGGAGGTGACAGTGGGTTAGGTGAAGTGGAGTGTGTGGTGAAGTGGAGGTAGGTGAAGTGGAGTAGGTGAAGGTAAAGATGGGAAATTCTAACAGTATTAGTATGTATAAATATCATGCTGAATAAAACAGATGAAAAACAAACCTATTTCCATCATTTGTTGTTGCATCATGCTGACATTGCAAATAAGAGCGATAAACTTTCCAACGCGCGGTTCCAGTTTTGTTTCCCGGAGCTGCACTCCCATTGTAGGGTCCACCTTTCCTTGTACCTGATAACAATTATCAGGGCCTCAGAAGAGTCATGATATGGTGTTCAAAGGTCAAGCATAAACTACAGAACTCTATAACGATAACAAAAAATTGCTAGGAACTCAAAAGCCGAACTTCCACTTTCTGTAAAGAAAACATAATTCTTAACACGTATAATCTGGCCTTATTCCTTCATGTTATTTTTTCCTTTCTGGTTTGGATTCGGATAAAGCAGCACAAAAGATTTAAGCCAAGTGGAAAAGGTGGTAATATGAAGTCATGCAAGAAATCAAGCATTCAGTTATTAGACCAGAAAATATACTATTGCAGTAAAACAACTTACAGTTGATTCTTTTTCTGTGTTAGTGTAGTCCATTTCCAACCAAGTGTAGCTCTTTGGGTAACAAATGAACTCTTCACGGTTGGACCAATAGTTCCTAGTTTTGGCAAGGAACTTCTGCTCAAATTCCTGGATAGCACTATGTTGCGAAGTGTAAGGACCGTAAAATTTATCTTGACCCTTTACACCAACTCTGCCCCATCTATTGTAAACCATGAATCTACCCCCATCATCAGACTCTGCAATTAGTTTTCAGAATACAAAAAGAGATCAGACAAACTGAAGGAAACCACAAGGATCAAACGAGAAGACAGTGCAGTTTTCACATGAAGCAATTAAAGTTGTGCATCTAACTCGCTAATAAGCATTAAGCATAGTGATTAAAATCAAGGTTGAAGAAAATTGAGTTACCTAGAACTTGAATGACATAGAACTTGTTGTTGTTCTCCCCAACATTCGTCTGGTTCAACATGGCATCGTATATTTCGTCATCCTATATACAAAGAAAACAAAAATAAAAAGAAAGAATGATCAAGTTATTAAGGCATCAATCAAATGTTACGAAATAACCACATAGCACTGGTCTGGTATGACTTACCCGCTGCAATACATGGTACTGAGCCTTAATGTGTTCCGGGAGCCATTGATCCAATACAGCAGCACCCTTCTTGGTTGCAGTGACCATTTTCTCCTCCTTGTTTTCAGTAGCATCCTCTTCTTTGGCTGCCAGCCACGACAAATAATTTCTTAAATACAAAACTTAAATAATTTCTTAAATACAAAACTTAAATAATTTCTTAAATACAAAACTTGTTTCTTTCCACAAATAAATAAATCCTGAAAACAATCCAATTGTTAGCCAAAAAATTGTTTTCAAACACTATTTTAGCAAGAAAAATAACAAAATACGAAATGTGTGTTTTCAAACTTGTCATTAAAAATAAAATAAAATAAAATAAAAACACAATAAAACAAGTCCAATATGCCATCTATGTATGTATCAGAAAGCAACGAATGAATTCAAATGATGGTACCTTCAATAACGGCGTTGGAGTCCTCCTGAGAATCGGTACAAAGCCTTTCAATAAGTTGTTTCTTGGACCCAGTTTTAGACAATCCCCGAAGAGCAGCTTCTTTGCGTAATTGTTGAATGCTGATAACCCGAAACCTGTCCACGGCCTTGATTTTCTCAGACCCATTTGAATCCCCATTATTCTCGGTTTCCCTCGGTCTCTTTTTGCTAGTTGAATTGTCCGTAGAATCAATTGCTTGCTTATTAGTTTCTTCTTGGCGAATAGCTGATTCAAGCCTCCGAACCTGCAATAATAACTCACAATCAACACAAGCAAGAAATTATAGTTAGTGAGAGATGCACAAACACAGAGAGAGAGAGAGAGAGATGGGTAGGGTGAGGATACCAGTGTGGGCTTGGTGCCAGTGGTACTCAGTCCGCGTTGAGAGAGCTCGGTTCGAAGCTCTTCCACTTTGAGTTTGTTTGCCATTTTTCAGAGAGAGAGAGAGTGTGTGGGGAGATGTGAGAGGTGAGAGGTGAGAGGTGAGAGTTGACAGTTGAGAGAGAGACACAGCGGGGGTGTTTAAAATGGGTTGGGTTGTGAAAAAGAAAGGGGGGTGTTCGGCTTCCTTCCTGGGGAAGAAGAAGACTCCTTTCTTCTCAGTGCTCAGCACGATTTTTGGCGATTTTAAAATTTGTAATGGGCCTTCCGTACCCTGCAATTTAATGTGGGCCTGGCCCCACAACAGCCCACGATGCCCTGACCAATTCATCCGAGCCATATTTGGTGACAACTTCTCCAATGACAATGGGCTTGCTGTCTTGGACCTACGGAAGAGTGGGAGGATTTTTCTGTAACAAAAAAAAAAAAAAATTTTCTCCAACGATGTTTTTGGAAAGTTTGTAATTTGAGAAGTGGGTTGGCTTTTTGATTTTTTGGCCATTTTGGCTTTTTTGGCTATTTGAGCCTGGGCTCAAAAGCTTGGTTTGAGAAGGACTTTTTGGCTTTTTGACTTTTTTGAATTTTTTTGTGAGAGAAGAGTGTAATGATTATGGATTGGATGTGATGTTTTATCTGTTGTGACTCAAATACCCTATTCTGTCTTTTGTGACTCAAAGAGCTAAAAGAGCCCAAATGAGCTCTTCCCAAACGACACCTAAAAAATTGACTTTTTAATTTTTTAATTTTTTTAGTGATTTTTTTGATAAAAAAAACTAACTTTTTTGATGACATTTTTGAGAGAATTTAGTAAAAAACTAAAAAGTTGACTTTTTACCAAATTTTCAAATTGCCCCAATAAGCTTTTCAAAATCCAGATTGTTTCAAGCATAATGTTTAAATTTATTTTTTTTTTTTGATAATTATAGTCCCTAAAAAGTGAGTTGGGTTTATATTATGATTAAAATATATATATATATATATATAAAAGGATATAATAAATTAATAAAATAAAATATCACATTTAAATTATAATATTATTAGACCGTTTGGCAAGAGAGTTCTGGGCTAATTTAGCCATTACAATCCAAAATTGGCTAAATTAGCCACAAACCGACAAAAACACATTCAGGGGCGTAACTTACATACAAGGAGCGGTGAAAGTACCAAATTACCCCTAGGTTAGTGTTCACACCATCACACCTTCGACCCCGCACATTCGCACCAGTTAGGTCATCCACTTTAGAGCTGAAGCAAACGAGGCAATCCAAACGGCACTTGAGAGGAAAAAGAACGACGATACTTCTGACATTGGTGCGCCACCGGAGTTCATATCGGCGACGACCCTGCAACTCAGGCTCTCAAAGATTTGGAATTTGAAGGTAATGGTTGCTTTCTCCTTTTTTGGGGGGGGGGTTTGTTTGCGTAATACCCTATCCTTCAACCCGATTTGCTCGGTTGATCTTTGGAACCCATTGTTGTTGCTACTTAAAAATTTTTCCTCCACTTATTTGAGTTGCATTTTTTTCATTTTGGTTTGCACAATGGGAAAGCCACCGTTATATCTGCAAAACCTCACTCCGATTTTGAATCTGTGATGGAAACTAGACGTCACGGCCGATTAGTGGTTGAAAACACATTTTTCGTAATGATTATTTGAGGTGTTCTTCACATTACGATGTCTGAATCTACCACCCTATGATTTCTCTGCAAAACCCATTTTCTGTTTATTTTTTCTGCCAATTTTTTGTGAAATATGGAATTTCTATATCCTGATTTGTCACCCAATCTGAAATCAAAATTATTTTCTTCATAAATCTCACTGTTGTGCCTCACCTAAAATCTGAATGCTGAAATTATATTTTTCTCAAATATGAAACATGCATTTCATATGTTTTCTCATTTCCCCCCCCTCATTTCTGGAATTTGTATACCAATTTCTTTGCTTAACTCTGAAAACTAATTTTCTGTGTTCATAACTTTGCCAATGGCTCCATGTGAAACATTCTGAATTTAGAAACAAATGTCTCCATGTATTTCTATAAACAATAGAATCAGTGTTCTGTTCATAACACATTGTAATGTCTCCATCATGTCTGTTAAACAAATGGAAAGTTGTGTAAATATGTGAATGAAATCTGATTCTGTGAACAATTTCATATCAGAAGTTCAATTTGATTTCTTATAATTCTCATTCTCTTAAACACTGGTAACTACATTTCTTATAATTCTCATTAAAAATGTAAAATTTCAGATCACAAGTTCAAATTGATTTGTCAATGCTGAATGAAATCTGAAATTTGAAACCAGACTTAAATCTATGAATGAATATCTGATTCTATTACAAAATTGATTTTAGTAACATTGGTAAGTTGATTTCTTATCATTGTCATTAAAAAATAAAAAATGACAATGCTGAATATTATTTGTGAAATACCTATTGATTTGTCAATGCTGAATGAAATCTAAGTCTGTGAATGAAATCTGAAATCTGAATGGGTTCTGTGAATGAAATCTATGAATCACATCTGACTCTGCTACAAATTTCTGTTTTGTAACATTGGTAACGTCAATGCTAAATGAAGAAAGAAATGTAAATGTATGTATTGCTAACATTCTGAAATCTAAATAAAACCTTCTGCTGTTGTATTTATAAATCTGAGAATGTCTCCATCTCTCTTTCAAAAAATAGTCCTCATATCTGTCTTCATTCATATATTTAGATTTTTGGGTTGTGGTTATTCAACTTCACTTCTTCAAACACTGTTATTATAAACTGTTAACTTGATTTGTTTTTATGTTATTGAAGTTCACTTTTCTTTTGGTTATTCATACATCCGCTTTTCTGTTAACTTGATTACTGTACTAGTGTTTCTTATTATATTTCCCTTATATTATGACAGTCGTCATAATATTACCAATTCTAATTGATTTAATGTTAATGTGTGATACCAAACATTGGGTTGGTGACATTCTGAACTGGGTATGAAATGGATCGGACTGTGAGTGGTTATAACTCTTTTTCAGTTGATCTAGTCTAAGTATATATAAATTAATTTTAGATTTTTTTTTAAAAAAAGGATGTCTAATTTTAGTCATGTGGATACAAACTTCATCTTTAACATTATTTATATAAATAGACTATTCTCAAATTTCAAAAAACGTAATAATAATAATAACTAGGATAAGAATAATAATAAAATTAATGGTTATATATCAAATCTGTGCAAGTCCATATGGGTTAATAAATACTCCTACCACTATACGAAGCTACATATGCACAATACTTTTACAAAAATCAATTTCGTTAATGGAATCAAATTACGACTACGTTAGTATTTGTAAGTTATCATTTTGATTCATGTAAATCTAATTGAATTGTAATTTGATTACGGCTTCATAATTTACAATGTTTTAACTTAATTTGATCATGAATTCTTCATTTCAGTCATGTAAACACACGGTGTTCATGCCTTTTTTTATCTGTTAGGTGTGAAAAGGAAATTAGATTTTTACCTTTCTATTAACACTTTGACAGTGAAACCATGATAATGTAGGCTGCTTTTCTCTAAAATAAACTAAACAAAATATGGAGTTTGTATACCTATCCTATGAAACTTGTGCATCAACGTATTCAGTTCATGTTTAACCTGATATATGGATAACATAAACTAATTACTTATATGATTCATTGTCACTTCCGAATGTTTGTAAAGCATAGCATGGCTTCGTTTACCTCTACTGCAACTTCCAGTACATGGCCACGACGAATGTGTGCTTGTGGACATGGCCCCTGTATTGTTAAGATTTTCAGGTCCACCAAAAATACAGGGCGTCCCTACTTTGCATGTCCCCACTCTGTGGTGAGTGGCCCATTCTTTATCGGTCATAACTGCATGAACATTAACAACCCATTGACTAATAGTTCCATCATTTGCACTCATCAGCCCCGTGTCAGTTGGATTGGTTGGTGCGAAGAACCAAGGCGACAGAACCAAGACTATGCGTCACCTAGAGACGAAATTGTCATGTAATTGCGGGTAGACATTCAACAATCCTTGCGTGTCCTTAAGACCATTGTGTATGTGCTATGCATTGTCGTTGTCATTTTGTTGTTCCGTATGTAAGCAACGTTAAGATGTTGTCAATATGTACAAACACGTTACGAGGTTGTTAGTATGTTAGTAGTATGTTTTAGTATGACTTTAAGCTGCCTTTGCCTTCCTCCACTACGAAACGGTAGACGTATTAATGACTATCATAACTATGTCCACTACTGAGTTCCATGGAACCTGTGTATGTATGTTATTAATGTGCAATGGTTATATACCTACTGCAACTTCCAGTACATGGCCACGACGAATGTGTGCCTGTGGACATGACCTCTGTATTATTAAGATTTCCAGGTCCACCAAAAATCCAGGGCGTCCCTACTTTGCATGTCCCCACTCTGTGGTGAGTGGCCCATTCTTTATTGGTCATAACTGCATGAACATTAACAACCCATTGACTAATAGTTCCATCATTTGCACTCATCAGCCCTGTGTCAGTTGGATTGGTTGGTGCGAAGAACCAAGGCGAGAGAACCAAGACTATGTGTCACCTAGAGACGAAATTGTCACGCAATTGCGGGCTGATGTCATAGATATTCAACAATCCTTGTGTGTCCTTAAGACCATTGTGTATGTGCTATGCATTGTCGTTGTCATTTTGTTGTTCCGCATGTAAGCAACGTTAGGATGTTGTCAATATGTACAAACACGTTACGAGGTTGTTAGTATGTTAGTAGTATGTTTTAGTATGACTTTAAGCTGCCTTTGCCTTCCTCCACTACGAAACGGTAGACGTATTAATGACTATCATAACTACGTCCACTACTGAGTTCCATGGAACTTGTGTATGTATGTTATTAATGTGCAGTGGTTATATGCTATGTAATTTAGCATCCTATCTCTCTGTTTGTTGTTATTAACGTGCAATGGCTTATGCGTTTGTATATAACAACCAAATTTGTGATGGTAATCTTTTGTAACCGTACATTAGTAATGGCTTCCATACGTACTTTTCCGCGTACCCAATCCAAAAACAAAGGCATTGTCACAGAGAAGTCAAGCAGTCTTAAAGAGATACATAATCAATTCAGCCACAAGGCCTCATGGGACAATGACTCAATTCGAGGTTTCCTGCAGTTGATTGCAAATGAGATTACAAAAGGAAATCGACCAT